CCAACTCGCCTTTTGTTGCCTCTATCCGCGACAAACCGTTGCCCGCCAAGTTCAAAATGCCTACCATTGACTCCTTCGATGGCACGACGGACCCAGTCGACCATCTGGAAACCTACCGCACCCTCATGATCCTCCATGCTTTCCCTGACGAGATCATGTGCCGAGCCTTTCCAGTAACACTAAAGGGATCAGCTCGATTGTGGTTTAGCTAGCTACCGGAGGACTCCGTCTCTACCTTCCAACACCTCAGTGACTCTTTCCTAAGCCACTTCATCGGGGCCCAGCGTCAGAGACGCCCAACCACCCAACTCCTAAACATTCGTCAGACCGAGGGGGAGTCGCTCCGCAGCTTCGTCACCCGCTTCAACACCGAGGCCCTTCAAGTAGCGGAGAATGACAACAAGGTCATCCTCACCGCCTTCATGGCCGGCCTGCGGTCATCGGATTTCCTTTTCTTCCTCTCCAAAAACCCTCCCACCACCATGGCAGCCCTCATCTCCAAAGCCCAGAAATACATGAATGCTGAAGATTCTCTGGCCGCTCGGCAAGAGCCCACCTCTAAAAATCCGATCCCTAGAGACAAGAGGAAAGACCCCGAAAACAAAACCGCCCAGTATAATAGCCAAACACCCCACTATAATGACCGACCCCCCTGTGCCGACCGGCCGACTTCAACCAGACCGCCCGGTCGGTTTGAGCGTTACACACCTCTCAACTCCCCTATGGAGCACGTCCTCAATCAGATCCAACGGGACTACCCCCTCAAGTGGCCCCTACCTTCACGAAACCCTTACACTCGGAAAGATCAGTCCAAATACTGTCGTTTCCACCAAGACCATGGTCATACCACCGACGAGTGTATCAACCTCAAAGATCAGATCGAGACCTTCATACGCCAGGGCCGCCTCAGCCGATTCACAGACACCCGCCCTCCACAGAGGCAAAGAACCGACCTCACCAGGAACAATCGTCGACAAACACCACCCCGCAATCAAGCCCTACCTAACCAAGGCCACGATCGCCCACCACCACAACCTCGGCCTCCCGGTAATCCCCCTCCACCAGTCGGAGAGATCCGAGTTATTTCAGGCGGTCTTGCTTGCGGGGGACCATCCCGCTCGGCTCGGAATGCGGAACTCAGAAAAATCAAGCAGGGCTCAGACAAAGCCGTGGCGACGGTGGACCGACCTCCCAAACAGTCAAAACAATGGATCGAACCCATCACCTTCACCGACACTGACTGTGCAGGAGTCCGCTACCCACATGATGACCCCCTTGTCATTTTCGCCATCCTCTCCAACTACAAAGTCAGACGAGTCCTCATAGACAACGGCAGCTCTTCAGACATTATCTTCCTCAATTGCTTCCGCCAGCTCAAGATTGGGGAAGAAAGCTTGTCTCCTCTACAAACCCCTCTGGTCGGCTTCACCGGCGACCGTGTGACCTCCATCGGCTCCATCGATCTACTTATCACCATCGGCGAGCACCTGCAGCAGACCACTAAGTTGCTCACCTTTCTTGTGGTCGACTACCCCTCTGCTTACAACATCATTCTTGGCCGCACAGCCCTCAACGCCTTCCAAGCCATCACATCTACATATCATCTTGCCATCAAATTTCCTACCGATCTCGGTGTCGAAACTGTCAAAGGAGAACAGACCGTGGCCAGGGAGTGCTATGTCGCCTCACTCAAAGAAGTCAAGCTAAAAGAGGCCATGATCATTGAAGGGCTTGACGTCCGAGACGAGGACGAGCTCGTCAGAGGTGAACCTGTAGAGGAACTTGTTGAAGTTAACATTGATCCCACCGACCCAATCAAAACCGCCAAGATTGGCAGCCAATTACCTTCCCAAGCCGAGGCCGACCCTACTGCTTTCCTGACCGAGCACAGAGATGTGTTCACCTGGACCCATTCTGACATGCCAGGCATCGACCCCTCCTTCATAACCCATCGCCTCAGCATCGAACCCCACTTTCGACTCCACCGTCAGAAGCAACGCATTTTCTATCCGGAGCGCAACACCCTTATAGCTGCCGAAGTTGACAAACTCCTCGAGGCCCAATTCATCAAAAATGTGGACTATCCTAGGTGGTTGTCCAACGTGGTCCTCGTCCGCAAACACAATGGCAAATGGCGGCTCCGTGTCGACTACTCTGACCTGAACCAAGCTTGCCCCAAAGACAGCTACCCCCTTCCCCTCATAGATCTGCTGGTCGACGCCACGGCCGGTCATCAAATGCTCAGCTTCATGGATGCCTTCTCTGGGTACAACCAAATCCTGATGCACACATCTGATCGGGAGCACACATCATTTATTACCGACCGAGGTACCTACCACTACTGTGTAATGCCGTTCGGATTGAAGAATGCTGGGGCCACTTATCAGCGGCTAGTTAATGCCGTTTTCCATCACCAAATAGGTCGGAATATGGAAGTCTACGTCGACGACATGCTAGTAAAAAACAAATACTCCTCCGATCACCTTACTGACCTACGTGAGACCTTCGCCACCTTGCGCAAGTATCAGATGAAGCTCAACCCAGAAAAGTGCACCTTCGGTGTAGGGTCTGGCAAATTTTTGGGCTTTATGGTCAGTCAGCGAGGCATCGAAGCTAACCCTGAGAAGATCAAGGCCTTGGTTGAGATGCAGTCGCCTAGGACGGTCAAAGAGGTTCAACGACTCACGGGCCAAGTGGCAGCACTCAACCGCTTCATCTCCCGTGCGACAGATAAGTGCTTGCCCTTCTTCAAAGTTCTTCGGCAGACTTTTGAATGGACAGCTGAATCCGAAGAGGCCTTCCAACAGCTAAAGCAATGCATGGCCAACCCCCTCTTCTCTCCCAAGCAATCACGGGCGAACCCCTCTTCCTCTACCTAGCAGTATCGGAAACCGCAGTCAGTGCGGCTCTCCTCAGAGAAGATGGCTCAATCCAACGACCGGTCTATTACATTAGTCGAGCCCTCAGGGGCGCGGAACAGAACTACCCCCTTCTGGAAAAACTGTCCCTGGCCTTGGTCATTGCCTCCAGACGACTCCGCCCATACTTCCAAGCCCACTCCATAGTGGTCCTCACCGACCAGCCCCTGAAGAAGGTCATCAGATCGAGACCTTCATACGCCAGGGCCGCCTCAGCCGATTCACAGACACCCGCCCTCCACAGAGGCAAAGAACCGACCT